CATAGGATGTTATTTGATCTAGAACAGTGGTGCTAGATCCTAGCCTGCAGGCCAGATCCAACTTATGGAGTTGTGCCATCTGACTTGAGGGCACCTTGGATCCAAAATCTGGTGGTGGGGGAGCAGTGTTAATTTCTGCCTCCCTGCTGCCAAATTTCTGGACCCATGGCGTGTCCTGCAGACTGGATAATGCGGCACTGCCACTGCATCCAGAGTCACTCCATCTGGTTGCCTAAGGGCGAGCCAGCATGTGGCTAGATCCAGTACATAGGCTCAAACCTGTGAACTAATCCCACATGCTAACCCTGAGTGGGATCCAGCCTGTGGACCAAAGCCACACCGATCATTTGTCCCACAGTCAGAAGGTTGGACACCAGCAATCCAGAAGTTTGACAAGACTACACCAGGGCAGGAGAACTGTGTTGTTAAACTGATAAGTTGCTTCATGGTTTCAAATGGGCATTGTCAAAGGCAAGCCACTTCACTGACACAGCCCATTCATGCGCCTGTGAATTCCATGTCACAATGCCCTGAGCCTAATATTTCTTGTTGCTTATTCTTAAACTGGGATTTAATTTCAATTTGAGGACACACTTTATGTTCTCCCTCATTTAATGCAGAGAAGAGCCTGACATCAACTAATCAATGTAAAAACGGGTTTCCTCTTTGAGGAAACACTGAAACCCCAGGTATGGGGTTTGATCACACTTTAGGGCTAATGCAACTGTAAAGAACAGGACAGGGCAGGACTTTATATCAAGAATGTTGTGAGACTATGGTAAATTGGAGGTATTATCAATGAATAGGTATCCTGAACATGGTGAGTTCAAAACCACTGTAGGATATGCAACAGAAAGTTATTATTTGTGACATTATCATTCTGAATGTTTTGTTTCTGAAGGAAGGTGTCGGCTTAAAGATTCCTCTCTGACTCCTCCTCTTTTGGAATAATACAAAAGGAAGGATGAAACTTCCCTGAAAAAAAAGAAAGGACCTCTGTTTTGGCTCCAAAGGTTAATATTTAAATCCCCTGCTGCAGAAAACTGCTCTGAGCAGCTGGGACCCTTGAATAGGGAGGGGAAGGAGCCTGGAGTGCAGGGAAAGCATACACAAAACGGAAAAAGTCCAGATGTAACTGGACTGTAGGGGATGTTCTTCCAGGCTTCCAATAACTATTTGATCTAACAACTGTTTACCACAAAGAAAGAAAGCAATCCAAGAAAAAGAACTGTACAGTCCGTTCCATCTCTGAACATAGGCTGCAGCTGAGGGACAGTCAGTCTGTATTCCCACCCTGACCGTTTCAAATTGGGGAAGCACAAAGGCACCTGTGGGAGTTGGGGCTGTCCCAATGGACAGAGGGGTTATTACATCTATTTTATACACCATTGAAGACACAACAGCTGTGCCTAGACAACTGCGGCCATGCAGTATGTGGGTGGCTTAAGGGCCACACGCCACACATTCAGGTGTTTCTCATGCTACTACCTTGCAGCTGGGGGCAGAGGGGGGTTGACCTCAGGAGATCCTGGGGTCAAAATAGCAGCACAGAAAAAAAGTAGGGCAGTGCAATGGCTGCAGCACATGCTGCCCAAAACTGGAGCCTGGCCCACTGAAGCCACGCTACGCCTGCTGGCCAGGCTCCAAGGTGCAGGAACGCCACAGCTGAAGCATCCCTGGACCCCAGGCCAGGCTACTGCGGCCGGCAGAGTTGCTGACCCTAGCTTCCCCTATCCCACCCAGGTTAACCTGCCATGCACCAGAGGGTGCATGGCACAGGCATTCCCCAGGGACAAGCAGCAGCAGCACACGATGTGCCTCTGCTTCTCGTCTCTGGGGAACCAAATATACACTCATTTGAACACAGCCAAGGTGTTACAAAAAAAAGGTGAATAAATGAATAATGAGCACAAATGCAAGCAAGCAAGCAAGCAAACAATAAAAAGAAAAAACAGAACAAATTTCAAAATTACCACGTGCTTATCAATTTAAACTCCAGATGGACAACTTTAAGGTCTATGCCAGAATGTACTTTCAAATGCTAGTGGTATGTATGGAAGTTAGGTACTTGTCCAAATATAGACACACCAAAGAGTTATGTTCTGCACATGTTTGTGGAAATTAGAACAAGAACACTTGCATATGCTTTATTGCTGTACAAAGCTAGGTATATGTCTTGGGAGGAAGTTGACTCTCAGTTATCAGTGTTTCCTCAACTACTCTCTGGACAAAATACTAAGGCATGAGTGATATCACTGCCAATGGCTCTGCAAGTCCCATTTCAGTGCCTCTCTGAAGTGATGGATTTTTGTTGTCAAACATATTTGGGCAACCTCTGCTTCTCTGTCAGCTCTAGGAAACTCTTGTTGCCTATAAACCTGATATACCATGCACTGGTAGATCGTGTATATCTGACTCTTGCTTTCATTTGCCTCTGTACAAGTACTCATTTCTAAAAGACTGTTTCTGGCCTTAATAATAGCCCTTTTCTGTCTTGTGCAATATTTTTTGGATATGTTTACCATGGATTTTCATAAACATGGGGTGAAACTTTAGCCCCACTGAAGTCAATGACAACAATGCAGATGGCTTGAATAGGGTCAGAAATTCATGCAGGGACATTATTTTCTCAACTGTTCTATGATTTTCCTGACATGACAAACTTTCTGTGTGAAGAATAGTTGTGTAAAAGTTCTGAGGAATTATTTTGGGAGCCTATAGTGGCAGTTAGGTGGAATATGGACACACATTCTTTTCTGCATCTATCTCTGGTCTCCATTTAAAAATGGAGTGATGCAATTCTATAAAACAGGGATGAGGATGAACATATAAAAGACTGCGAGGTACTTGGGTAGTATGGCAGTAGGGCTACTTACGTTCCCAAACACTGAATTCAAATAAAAGTAACTGCTGAAAATGTATTTTCTATTATACATAAACATGAAAATGCATTTACCAACATTTACCACCAAAAGGAAGAGCCACTACAGTTAGTTTCCTATACTGGAATGCAATGCAGTGCATTGGAAAAAAAAGTAGCAACTGGTAGTGAAAGGTGCCTTTTTCATGGCAGCCACAAGATACAGTACTGCTGCATTATAGACAAACTGCAATAAGCAACACTGTAAAGGGGGCAGGGGGAACTTTGTCATTATTATTTACCTGCTGCATCTTACTGTACTTTTCATCAACATGAAGCATAGCAAATTAAACAGAATTAAACTGCTATAAAACATCTATTCTTGCATACTAGCCTGAGGCAGTTTCACTGCCAGTGCAAGCAATTTTGCTAATGATAAAGCAATAGTATTAAGACATTATCACTGCCCTCAGAAATACCAGCCATCTTCCATTAACAAATGAGGAAACACCCCAACATGCTTCCTTAACCAACTGCTAGTATATGAAACACAAGATAATGTAAACAGTCTTGATTCTGCCATTCATAAAAGCATGTTTAAAAGAGTAGACAACAATACTAACAAAAAAGCAGTGGTGTAGAGAATATGCCTAGCACAAAACAAATCTTTCTATTGCATTCTATATGGTATATATTAATTTGGTCTACTGCTGACCTAAAGCCATTAAAATATGCATCTATTTAAATGAATTACTGTGATTCAGTAATGGGGCTCTTTGATCGATCCAACAAATGCAACTTGAAATAACTCAATTTTTACTAATACATTTTAGCAATCTAATAATTGTTAGAGATCCTGAGGCTTGCAAGAAGTAAATACACTAACGTGCAGTTATGATTTTTTTCCCAGTATTCAAGTTCCTGATTCAAGTATTCTGGAGATTAGTAAAATACAAAGTTCATCAAAGCTAGTGTTTAATTTAAGTACTACTTTGGAGTTCTCTGCTGTCACTCAAAGACAATGTGATAAGCAATAGGGCTATGTGAAGCTTTGGTCCCCGGTTCAATTCGGCGGAGCTTCAACCCGATTCAATGGCCAGATCTCTGAATCCAAATCAAATCAGGAGTCCCTTTAATCTCTTCGAATCGAATTGGAACCCTCCAAATTGATTTGGAGAGAGTTGACGAATCGGATAGAGACACAGCTTTAAATGTTTTTTCTACACACCTCAAGGTACCAGGTAGCT